TGATTTTCAGGGGGCTGGGGATTTAGCTCAGCAGCACAGTGCCTGCTTAGCAAACAGAAGTTCATGAGTTTGATTCCCGGTACCAGAAGAAAAACAAAACAAAAAAATCAAAAACAAAAACAAAAGAATGATTTTCAATATATACTTGTTTATGAACATAATACTATATAGATGAAGGATAGTTTTCTGGATCAAGGAATGTTAAAATAAGAATGAGAATAATATTAATCAGAAGTAATAAATTAGAAATTAAAATTTATTCCTTTATTGTCTGATTTGAAAACATAAACTGCTTATACAAAGAAAGGAACCATTTAAGTGTATCTTTTGAAATCAACGAAGTAGACTGAGAACAACCAATTGTTTTTAATTTTAATTGTTTATTAGTACATGTTTATAGTACATTAATCATAGGCAACTGGTGAGTGTAACACATTGTAATTCTTTCCTTATGCCTCTTTTGCTTTCCTTCCTCTTCTACTCATCTCTAGATCCTTTTCCCATTTGTACCAGATCTCTCTCTGTTTTCTATTATCCATGCATGATTGTTGTCTTTATACTTTGGATTTCTCATGTAACAGAAACTGTATAATATTTACTGGCTGTATCTTTTGTGTCTTACATATCTCAGTTAAAATTATGGTCTCACAGTGCATCCATTTTAAATACCACTGGCTCAGAATAAATTCTTCTTCACGGCAAAGTAGTAATCCATGTGTAGAAGTACTACATTTTCTTTATCCATTCCCCATTGATGTACATATAGATAATGTCCAATATTTAGCTGTTATGAATTGTGCTGCTATAACCGTGGGTATGCATTTATCACTGTAATATTATATATTTAACTCTTTGGGGAAAATATCTTGAAGGGGTATAGCTAGGTCAAGTGGAATTTCTATTTTTAGTTTGTTCAGGAATCTCCATGCTGATTTCCATAGTGGTTGTACTAGTTTAGATTTCCACCAACAACATGGAAAGGTTCTTTTCTACCTGCAACCCCTCCAGCATTTGTTATTTTTGATTTCTTGATGATAGGCATTCTTTGTACTGTAAGACAGAGGCTCTCAGTATTATTCTAATTTCCTTTTCTCTAATGGCCAGAGATGTTGAGCATTTTCATATATTTACTGGCCGTTTCTATTCTTCTGAGATGCACCTACTCAATTTAGTGGCCTTTTTTATGATTGATTCTTTTATTCTGAAGGTCTAATTGTTTTTTTTGTTCTATTTCAAGTATTAATTTTCTATCCAAGAAGTAGCTGGCAAATACTTTTTAAATACATCACTCTGTAGGTTGCGTCTTCCCTCTTTTTGTTGTTTTCTTTGCTATCCAGAAGCTTTTTAAATTTAATGTATTTCTGTGTTGATTCTTGATGTTTTTTTCTTGTTTTTTTCTTTGCAGTTCTGTTCTGATATCTTTATCCCTAACACTTCAAGAGCTTTACCTACTTTATCTTTCAGTAGATTGCCTCTTTCTGTTTTAATATTCAGGTCTTTTCTCTTTGGTTTTGCTTTAGTACATGGTGAGAGATACTTGCTTAGACTCCCCTGTCTTCATCCTCGTAACCAGTTTTCCCAACACCATTTGTTAAAGAGGCTATCTTTCCTCCAGGTAGGGTGTTTTGGTTCTTTAAAGATCAGATGACTGAATGCAGGGACAACTAACTTAAAGTATAGAATTATGCCAGCACTTTTAAAATTATGAGATAACAAGTGTTTAATATACTACATTATTGTCTGTATATAGCATATCTTTGTATATCAAATAAATCAATAGTAAAGATTAATATTCAGTGACTTTGAAAAATATCCATGGTTTACTCTGTTAAATAAAAATAGCCATCAAGTTAGAAGTATGATGTGATAGTTGTATTATGTAAGTATTGTGTGACAACCAAATGATCTGTGTTTGTATATCTACACAAACTCAGAAAAAGCAACAATGAACAGTGATCTCTGACATAGGATACTATCTTTTCTTTGTACCTATAACGTGCAAATGTGCTAAAACCTTGTGCTTTTATGAAATATTTTAATAAGGAAGAGGTTGAGTTTGAAACTATAAGGTATAGAATAATAAGACAGAACATTTTTCTCTGCTGCCAGAGCATGGTCACCATATCTCATCTTATTCTGTGCTCACAGATGACGTCACATAGGTAGATGCAATCTTCCAACCCCGTATGTACACTGCAGGAAAACATGCAGTGCCATTAATTTGCCCCAAGGGAAACATGGTAGATGTTTGGGTGGGCTACTGCCAGCACATTAGCTTTAGCTCTTCAAAATATTGGCAACAGAATTTAGGGAATTTGTTAATTAGCTCACAGTGAGATTTGATGATCTGTGAGATTCATTCCAGATCTGTAATTTTGTGACTCTGTGAATAATAACTAATAACAATCATATGCATCAAACATTTAAAGGTACTGATCCCTCACAGTTTGCTATTAATAACTAATAACAATTATATGCATCAGGCATTTAAAGGTACTGATCCCTCACAGTTTGCCAAGTAGTATACTAAAAGCAATGCACGCACGTAGTTTTTTATTTTGATGCCCATGAGCTTTCCTCTGAGCTCATTTTCTATGAGCTCAGTATCCTGTTTTAAAGATGAACAAATTAAAGTGTTAGGATTACTCACTTTTTAAACTGCTAGAAACCTGCATGAAAAAGTTCAGGATTTATTTTCTGAACTGAAAAAGTTCAGGATCTATTTTCCCACAAAACCTCAGCTTTTAGTTTGGGCTTTGAAAAGTTCAAAGCCAGATTCAACGAGAGATTAATAGCCGGGCCTGGTGGCTCATGAGTGTGATCCCAGCACTTGGGAGGCTGAGGCAGGAGGATTGTTGCGAGTTCGAGGCCAGCCTGGGTTACAAAGTGAGCTCAAGCCCAGCCTGAACTGCGTAGCAAGACCCTGTCTCAAAAAGACAAAAGGAAAGTCATGAGATGAAATATTTATGAGGTTCCCCTGCATCCATGTTGCTCTCTGGAGACAGGGAATGCAGTTTTAGGGGAGAGCGGGGAAACTTAAGCATGCCTATCTGTATTCTGAAGAACACATTTGGCCTCCAACATCCATCAGCATGAAAATGTAGATTTCTATTCGCTTGGATGGAAAGTTCATACTCTCCCAAAATGTTGTCGTGGTTGTACTCATGCTTGCAAATGTGTGGTGGACAAAAAATGATATACTTAGCCACCATTTTCAGAAATGGGTGACTATTGATATTTCTGCTTTGCCTTCACTAATAATATTGCCTACAAAATGCTTTAAACAGATTAACTACCCTCTCTGTTCAATTCAATTCAATCTTTCCAGCCTTTAACAGTAGGTAAAAATAGTCCTGGTTTCATTCCCCATGTACTTGTTGGATAACTTTAACAAATTATTTAGACTCCCTCAGTCTCCCTCTCTATCTTTGGAAATATAATAACAGCATGTATTTCAAAGATTTAGAAGTAATGAATATATTAAAATTTTGAGAGAACAACACAGGATATCTCAGATAGACTATAAAAACTTCATTTGTTTCAACTAAATACAGTAAAGGAAATATGCTTTAAAATATAAAGTAATTAAATTTATTGGCCTTGTACTGAATTTATTAAATATTACATGTTCATAGTAATGACCTAAATCCAATTTAAGGTGTTTAAAATCTATTACAGCCTCTACACTTATTGCATTATAATAAAAATCCCAAACCCTAGATAGAAGTTTTCAAAGATCTCAGAATATAAAATTTGATATACTCAAAGTTAATGCTTAGAATAGTTTTATCAATTCTCTTATAATAAAGGTTCAGTCACATTTGATTATTCTGTCTTTTCCTTCTCATGCTTACCTTCTATGTTTATTCATTTCCTTTATGGACTGACATCTTTAAATAATTTTCTTAAAATAGCAATTGTAAAATTTTTTCTTTATAAATTACCTTACCATTCCATAAGTTCCTTTTCTATGATTATCTTTTGTTTTTCAACTGCTCTGTTACCAAAATAAGGTATGTATTCTAATATTCTCTTCTAAGGCAAACTCAGTAGTAGTCATAGAAATGGAAACAAACTTTCTACAAGTCTCTGGCTGAAAATAATATGCTTACTTCAGAAGGAAAAAATACCTTGCAATATGGTAATTTGCTGAAAATATACATCAGAAACTGATAATGAAAGATGTATCAAACCAGGCCTTTGGGCAATCCTGACTTTCAAATAAATTTTATCTTAAGAAAACATGAGCATGCAATCACAGGATGGAAGATTATTGCTTTCCAATATTTTTTAGTATACATTTTTTTCTGTTCTTTTATGGGTTTTTTGGAATTAAGCTATAAAATGTTTTCTGCAAGTAAGTTTTTGGGTGAATTCCTAAAGGAAATCCACAAAATAAGAAACAGACAAGACATTGTTGATTGGTTCCAGATCTGAATAGCGTGAACGGTCCCCTTAGCGTAAGAAGTTAAATGGAAATGTGAGATATTTATCATTTGTGTCAATATTTTTCATTCTTTGGAATCTAAGTTAACTTCAAGGCAAATATTTAGTCCAAATACATCAATATAGATTCCAAAAGTGATGGACACAAAAGTTTCAATTCCTCTGAGCTTTCTCATTTGCATTTTCCTGACATTATTTGCTCTAGTCACGATTTATGAGACACTTAGATGAACGTAATAGTTGGCTGAACAAATCACACTTAATTGTTGCCACAGCCACATAAGATATTTGTAAGAGAAACATTTTCACTGTGAATTGCTTCCCTTGGAGCAGCAGTCAATTCTTGGTTAAAAGCTATGGTATGTAAGCTTGTTAGGCACATATCTCTCTCCCATTCCATAGGGAATGAGCTGAGCTGTCTGCTCAGCACGTCCACCTGCACTTCGTTAGGGAGCAGAATATTCACATGCCACACCACAAGAGCCCCACAATGACATAACTCCATTGAGAGACTGGCGTGACTGTGCTGGTCCCCCCCGCCCCCACCCTCCTCAGCTCTTGTATCACTAAGAATCTGGCAGTCAGTTCCGTCCTAACAGAGTTCACAGCATATATTGGTGGATTCTTGTCCACAGTGCATCTGCTTTAAGAATTAACAAAAGCAGTGTCAAGACAGTAAGGTAAGTGCTGTTTTAACTATAGCCTAGGGGATGCTGACTGTTTGGGACAGTTTTTATTATAACAGAGAACAGAGAAAGTTCCAGAGCAACTTTGCCAACTGCTATTTAACAGCACATTCATGGATATAGGAGCCTTTGCTTTCACATTTTGGATAAAGTGCTTTCCATGATTTACGTACTTCAGATAAATTCTATACAGCACATTCTGTACTAGTTGGCAAAGGAAGTTATGAGATGTTTCAAGGTTAGAATGGGAAAATAGCTCAACTAGACACTGGGAAAATTAAACTGGACACAGTGACAAAGTATGGGAGTTAAAATGTTTGTTATTTATGCTCATTAGTGGTATATGTTACTGTTGCTGGAAGCTAATCCTGCTGCAAGGAAAGGTCACTTCAATCAGCTTGCAAAGTATTTTGCAGAGAATATATTTTTACAATTCGTTACAATATAGTGAACATTTTATGTTACAAAATGGGAGCTAAAGGACTAAACTATTTATGAATTGCTTGTTCCTATTTCATTAATTTTAAAGATTTGAGGGGTTTTTGGTACATTTTCAAGAAAACATATTTTTAAGAAATTCTGGGAAGTGATTTACTTTTTGAGAAAAAGCAGTTCCTCTATAGCCACAGGTATTTGAATAAGGGGAGAAAAGTGCAGCGTGCTTTTGCCTCATAGTGGAGGCATTATATGATTACAAACTCTCTTTGAATTCAGAGCCCTCGTATGTACACTGCCAAAAACTACAGAAACATTTTTTTCCCACTATTCAATACTAAGATTTTGTTACCATGACTGCTTTGATATACACTTCATTTAAAATGAAGTATACACTTATTAATGGGTCAGAACAGATCTTTACAATGCTAACATACTATAATTTCTAAACAATCCTAGGGATATGTCAACATGTTATTTTAGTGAGACACAAGAGTTCTGTCCAAGTCCTGTCAAATGAATTAAATGCTTCCATTATATTACCAGGAAATAATGTCCCAAGACCCTGTGTCTTATGTATGCAACTGAAGTGTTTCTAAAATCTTTCTTTGAGTGTTTCATCTGCTAAAATAAAGTTCCTTACCATCCCAGGTTAAAAAAAGCAAGTATATAGGAAATTTCTGATTCTCCCAAATCCTACATATTCTAAATTCCCTGGTTCAAAAATCTGTCTTATGCTTCTCATAGAAAAACATAGTATTCTGTGTTGTCTGTTTAAATATAGATCCACTTCATATGGATGATTTCTTTTACAGAGTTACCAAATTCTCAGCTATGTTTTTACTCTCTAAAAAACCTAATTCTTATATTCTATTTTCCTTTTCTTAAATTGTTAAACTTCTTCCACCCAGCTGAAATGTTCTTTAGTGAGTCTTAGAAACAAGTTTACCTAAAAACATAACTGTTAGGAATTCTTTAAAATTTATATTCTCAGTGGCATACTTTCCTACACAGTTCCTAAAGCTGGCATTGACAACAAACTTTCCTCCTGTCCCCCATTTCATTCTGTGAGGCCTCTAAAATCCAAATATGCAAACCATGGCACCTTAAATTTTAGCATTAAGGAGATAGAGAACTTCTGAGTGCTTTGGAAAACTAATCAAGACTAGGGAAATATATTCCTCTACCTTCCTAGATTTAAGCTTTCTTAGAATAATTGACCTTTCTCTTGTTAAGAAGTATTTGCTTTACTAAATTAACTTACTAAATGTCAGCTGCAGAATACTGTTTTGTAATGTGTTTCGAAGTGTGGAATGTTATACAAAACTTGAAATAACATAAATACACACCCACACTGGGAATTCTACTCCCCCTCCTCAGAACCTCAAGAGACAATAACCAGATGCTTTTAAAGGAATGTACTTCCCTTTTCTCATCCACCCCGTATATTATCAAGATTTGCTTTCTTCCAGGGCAAACCACTGACTGCCCATTTTCCCAGTAAGGATTTTTTAATGAGATATTTCAATGATGTCAAATTGTAGGCTACAGTGCTTAGTTTACAAATGCCCTTTAATTTCCATCTTTTCTGCTTTTGAGACATGTTCTAATGCAGTGTTCTAACATGGTAGTCCTTGGGCACCGCCCAGAAGGGCTCTCCTCTCCCAGGAAGTCATTTAGTTAAGAAGACTTGAAGAAGTTGCCTGACACCAGTTATGTTTGGCTTGCACAGAGGGGGGCGCAGGTGTATGCCACCTGACCTGAGACTGGACATCTACACCAAAGTTGTAGTCATAGATGCCTATTCTCATTCTTGAATTAAAAAAATTAAAGGACAGTGAAGGCATTCCTTTCTGATGCACAGAAGACCTATAAAGTAACAAAATGCACGATAGACTTGAACATTACAAATTCAATCTCATTTTCTGGAAAGTATATTATTTTATATTAATTTATATATTTTTTATTTTTTTAAAATTTATTTTAAAAATAAAAGAAGGAAAACCTATTAACAAACAGACATCTATTTACAAAATAACATAAGAACACTACAAGCAATACAGAGTTACAGACAAAGTGGTAGGAAATTATCAATGGTTGTTGTATTACATATTGATGTCTTCAAAGTGGTTTCTCAGGAAAACAAACAGAGACATGCAAGATTTATCAAATAGTTAATCATTAAATATTCCTTTCAGTAAAACGGTAGAAGTCAGTAGTACAACTATGTTAGCTGTCCTATGTATACACACACATAATTTCCCCTTCTTTCTTTTCTCTCAGAAATTGAGGTAATTTAGAAATGTATACTTGACAACCTGAGTAGAATAATGGAATAGCTAGTAAGGGTCAACTCAAATGCCTGTGAGTATGCAACAGCACAGCCATTTTTGTACTTAGAACTTTTATTAATTTATATTTTCATTCTATTTAGGGCTCAGAGTATTTGCTGAAAATGAATGTAGGTGCACTTACTTTCTTCTTGGCTTTGGCCAGTAGTGCCAGTGGGTATTACTACGATTATGATTACTATCCCGCCTTTCTACGCTCCTCACCCAACTGTGCACCAGAATGCGATTGCCCAGATAACTACCCCACTGCCATGTACTGCGACGAGCTGAAGCTGAAGAGTGTGCCAATGGTTCCTCCTGGAATCAAGTACCTTTACCTTCGGAATAACCAGATCGATCATATTGATGAGAAGGCCTTTGAGAATGTCACTGATCTGCAGTGGCTTATTCTAGATCACAATCTTCTAGAAAATTCCAAGATAAAAGGGAGAGTTTTCTCCAAACTGAAACAGCTGAAGAAGCTGCATATAAACTACAACAATCTGACAGAATCTGTGGGCCCACTTCCCAAATCTCTGGAGGATCTGCAGCTCACTAATAACAAGATCACAAAGCTCGGGTCCTTTGAAGGACTGGTAAACCTGACTTTCATCCACCTTCAACACAATCAGTTGAAAGAGGAAGCCATTTCAGCTGCTTTGAAAGGTCTTAAATCACTTGAGTACCTTGACTTGAGTTTCAACCAGTTAACCAAACTTCCATCGGGTCTGCCTGTGTCTCTTTTAACTCTCTACCTGGACAATAATCAGATTAAAAACATCCCTGACGAGTATTTCAAGCGTTTTGGTGCACTGCAATACCTGCGTTTATCTCACAATGAACTTGCTGATGGGGGGATACCTGGGAATACTTTTAATATATCATCCCTGCTGGAGCTGGATCTCTCCTACAATAAGCTTAAAAGTATACCAACTGTGAGTGAAAACCTTGAAAACTATTACTTGGAGGTCAATGAACTTGAAAGTAAGTAGACAGTTGTGCTTGGGTTTGATTGATATACACTCACATTGTAAATGTCTACTTTGTGGGACACGAATATTGTGTTTGACTCCATTTAATGAAAATGAATTAAAATGTGGACAAAGAAGCCCTTTACCATAAATATAGAGGCACTCTAGCTTTACATAACTACTTCTTCCCTGCCTTTCTTTGGGAGGTCCAGGTCAAGAACTATTAAGATCATGCAATTTAATATCAAACTTTTTCAGATTTCTTCTCTTGATTAATGCTGTTGAATTATATCTTGATATTTATCTGTTATTGGTTACCTCATTTATCACTAAGATTTGTGTCCTGCATTTACTTCTTGGCTGAGAAGGAAGAAAGAACTTTAGAAGAGGTGGAGATACAGAGGAGGTCAAGCCCCCTCCCTCTTCTCTCCAGAGCAGAACATGTATTATTATGGTCTTGGCTGACCTCTTTCCTTGGGACTGAAGCTGTTACTCTGCCAACATGACTATCATCTACTTTCATTATGTATGTGGTGTTGTGTGTGGAACACTTAGCAGTGTTCTGATGAGAACTCCAAGAAGATTAAGAAGGGGGAGTACATGATGAAGGTTTAAGATAGTTTTTTCTTTTTAAAGTCATAATACAGCATCTTGTTTCTTTTACACAACCCTTTCTTTAACTTGATAGTTCCAGTTTCTCCTTGCCTTTTCTTGTTGCCATATTTTTTTTATGTATCTTGTGAATAGAGTTTGATCTGATCTGCCTCGGTTGCTAAATACTCTTCTGATTGGAGACATTTTTCAATTTAAGTAATACAGATTCAGGTGGGAAACTAAAAGCCACCATCCTCCACCTGATTCTTTAACAGAGTTTGACAGAAGAAAAATGTCATGATTCACTAACAGTATTTTAATGAAAATCAGGTAGATATTATTGATTCACACATAAAACAATTGTATCTGAAACATAAACTACTGGAATTGAGCATCTTTATCTGATAAATAAAATGGTGGGATGAGAAAAATCACAGTGTGCCTTAGGAGTGCATTGCAATTTTGCAACCATTTTATGCAACTCCTAGTAGGGTTAGGTTATTCTCATGAAGGAGATCACGATTGCCAAATCAAGCATCATGCACTTTGTTGTATCTTTAAAATAGCGAAGACAAAATTTAGTACTGTTTGATTATCATATGAATCATAGTGAAACTATAAACTCCTATAGTTGACTCCAGTGTAAAATTCACTGTGTGGCAATACATGATCCAACATTTTCAAACTTTGTGGTTAGGAGGAAGGATATTCTGTCCAGCCAAAATGACACAAGGGTTGAGGGTGGTTGAGAGGTGCAAAGATCCATGAGGTCTGGGGGTGGAGGGTAGTCACAGGGGCAAGCCTCCTGCTTTCTTTGAAATGAGTAAGAGCAAGAACACAGATGCGGGTGCAGTAGGTTGCCATAGACTAGAAGTGAAGGATGGGACATGGCAAAGATATTTATGAGAGCAAGGCTAACAGCTTCTCAGTGCAAAGCTGATGAGAAGCTGCGGTGTCTGGCTCATGGTGGTCAGTTGAAAAAGTATTGGAAGAGTTCCCTTTCTTCTGCCCTTACTAGTATTATTATTATTATTTATTTATTTATTTATTTATTTTTGGTTTTTCTCTGGTACCAGGAATCGGATTCACGACCTTGCACTTGCCAAGCAGGCGCTGTGCCACTGAGCTAAATCACCAGCCCCTGCCTTTATTATTGCTATTTACTCATGTGTTCCTGTTGTTTTTCCTGGCACACATCTCTGCAATTTAGGTTATTTGCTGATACTAACCATGTACACTAATTGCTCACATTCTCTTAATATAAGCCAGGACCTTAATGTTTACTGTCTAATATTACATTTAGTGTCTAAAACAAGGGAGTATATGGGCATTCTCCAGTGTGCCTCCAGGATCTGGATGATTAGTTCCAGAACAGCCTGTGGACACACAAAGCATACATGTTAAGTCCCTTGTGTAAAATGGCATAGAAGTTGCATGAGATCTACATACATATTCTCATACAGTACTTTAGATTATGGCTGGATTATTTATAATACTTAGCACAGTACAAATTCACTCTAAATAGTTGTTATATCATTTAGGAAACAATGACCATTTAAAAATTCTATATATTTGGAATTGAAGCAGTTTTTTCCAAATAGTTTTGATCTGTGGTTTGTTGAATCTACAGGTGCAGGGGACCGACTATAGGGCCAAAAGCAGTTTTAGATGTTGAATTCTGCAACTCTAAACTTTAGCCTAATGACAGATATTCCTAATTTGAATTTGGAAAAGAGAAAAAATTATAAGGACTTCCCTATTATTTTGAATATCCTATACTCTAGTACTGTTTGATGTGCTGTACATGCATTAATATTCACATAGCACACTGACACAGGAATATATACCAGACTGGAAGATCAGCTAAGTATTCAAAGGTCACTCCATTGAGGAGTAGCAGGGATGGAACAATGATAGGCCTAGGACCATCATCTTTCTGCTGGTCCGTATGTTATCAGAGCTAGGTACCACAGAGAAAGCCTAGAATTTGATGAGTTTAAGTAAGCATCTGAGATTCCACTGAAGCCATTGTTAACTAGATTTTGAAACATTAAAGAGAATACCAAGCTAAAGGATTCAGTAAGGTTAAATTGACATAGATATGGGCATACATAAGGTTTTCTCTGTATGTGTATATTCATACAATACAGCGCTAATTACTATTGAAACTACAACACATCTACATTGTGATAAGTATTCAACACCAGCAAAATTCTCTCTCAGAGGGTAGATATTCCATAATTTGATTTCTGTCTTGGAGTTTTGATTCATGGTCTTGGTGTATGGTTGCCAAGAAAATTCTTTATAGATCAACAAGTTAAATCTCTCTTATTTTCAGAACCAAAACCCAAGGACACTTATGCTAGTAAGGTTTTCATATGAAAAGGTCAAGCAGTTCAGATTAAATATTTGGCAAAGAGTTCTTAGGTAATAAGACATATTTGTTAAATGTCTTTCTAGAATCTCTTCTTAAATTCTGTTTCTTGAAAAATCCATGGAATGTTCTGGCCTATGTTGTAACTGCTTATTGAACATTGCTGTACCATGTTAGTCACCTGAAATGTGCTTTTAATGTTTCTTATTTCAAAGATATACAATGTAAATTATCAGATATATCTTAATTCAAAGGTATATAATGGAAATGACTTTTCTAAGTGGAAAGAAGCCATATTAGGCAATATAACAGACTTGAATTTTTAAAAAATGATCGTTTCAAGCCACTGTCTTAAAAATGCTTAAAGTTTTCTATTCTTTATTTTTCAGAGTTTGAAGTAAAGAGCTTCTGTAAGATCCTAGGACCACTGTCCTACTCCAAGATCAAGCATTTGCGCTTGGATGGCAACCTCCTAACGCAGAGCAGCCTGCCACCGGATATGTATGAATGTCTACGCGTAGCAAATGAAATCACTGTTAATTAATATCTGCTCATTGCAATTATACTGAGGTATATCCTGGAGTGGTACTTCATGGAGTTTTTTTGTATGTAAAGTTTTCATAGTATCCATTTTTGTTGCTGTTTATTAATTCCAATAATTTTAAATTCTGAGGGAAAATGTTTTGTAAACATTTCCTACTTTTATTTTAAAAGATGAAAAGCAGGCCTATTTCATCAAAAGAACACACACAAGCAGACATGAAACTTAATTCTTTGTTTGTCAATGTACTGTTTTCTGTATCTGTATTGTCCAAAGATATGCAAAGCCTTATATTCCTGTCATGGAAGTCAACCAAGTTTTATAACATTTAAGTGTTAATGTACTCAAATCGTGGGTTAAATATGTATGGGTATGTGCCACTTTGATCCAGATTTCCTTACTATGTTCAAATTTGTGTTGGTGAAAAATAGGTGGCAGAATCAGAGGTCAGTAATTTTGCAAAATACTAAACAAAATTTATGAAGCCATATGCACCTAAACAAGTATTTTCAGTGCTAAGAATTTACTTATTTACATAGCAAAACTTTTCCACAATTTATTCTAAGTCATGTATGTTTCTTTTTGATTATTTGCATGTTGTTTAACAAGCTAATAGCAAAATAAAACATAGCAAATGGCATCCCTGTGTTCGACTTCTCATGAAATTTACATCTCTCCTATATAAGACACATAAATGAACACATTAAAGTTCAAAAGACATCTTTAGCCTGAAATATTTTACCAATGGGAACATGGGATTTCACACCAATTAATTGTCTTCCTCTCTAATCCACTTACTAGGATGGATTAAGTATACCTAATTATATGTGCATGTATGTCACAATTTGCTTGTGTATTTTCTATCACTGCCATTCTTGTCATTTTTATCAGGTCATATGCAATGACATTCCATTAAACAAGAGGCTATTATAAGATCTTAGCAATCGCTCCTTGGTTGGTCAACAAAAATGACTGAGAACTCCCAGGACTAAAAATCTTGTATAAATATAAATCAGCTGAAAATAGGGCTTTAAAAATCATTTTAAAAATTCACTATATCCTGAACCCACTGAACATATGCATTTAGAGCATATGCTCAAAATTTATAATCTGGCAATAACAGTTTTTAGCTTTCTATATTCTGGGTATCCATGGCTGTATATAATGGGAAATAATAGGGCATATAGTTTATTAAAATAATTTCTATTTTTACCTAGATAACAATTTGTTGCCAAATGGTATGCAGGTAAAAATATATCTACCCAAAGTTGGTGACTGCATAGTCAGTTATGCATCAAAAACAAAAGAAGCATCGCTCCAACGCATGATATGCTTTAGCAGAACATTTTCAGCAGCTTCTCTGTTATGGTAAAATCCTTTGTCACCAGAGGACCATCACTGAAGAAGACTGAGTTGACTGGCAGACGTGTGAGATGTACATTACATTAGGCAAATTGTTTACCTTTTATTCTCATGTGCTTTCTACTTTACATTCTTTGAGCTGTGAGACCACTCAAGTCATTTCCTGGTACAAACTTAAAATTTATTTTTAAGCAAAACTATATTAGGGAAGAAATAAAAATAAATTTCCTTCACTATGTATAAAACTCATCATCATGCCTTGGGAGTGCATTTATAAGTAGGTAGTAGGAAACATGCTATAAATTCTCTTTAGTAAGAATGGGATGGATGCAAATAAGCTTTGTGTCCGTACAGCTTAGCAAAGTATCTTCTCAGTTGGCAGTCTGTCTACACCTTTACAAGCCTTTAATTTACCTTTATCGGAAGTCCTTTGTTATTCTTAAGTCTAAAAAGTAAAACTACAACTCAAAATAACAATTCCACTGGTTCAGTTCAACTGGAAAGGACCAGTGTAAGTACAAAGAGATATTTCCTGGTAGAAGCATTTAGGGAGGACACAAATCAGTCTCAATCTAGTGGCAGCTCCAGAGCCCAGGATCCATCTTCTCATGGCAGAGCTGCAGAACAGAAGCTGTCTGCTTACTCCTTAATCCCTGGGCTGTTTTAGGCGGAGTGGGAAGGAAGTCTGGAGACTGATTTACATGTTCATTCCCCATCTCATCTCCATTTCACTTAGACTAGCGTTACTTAAAGTTTCTAGCACACAACCAGCAAATTGTAATGCTTTTACAAATGCAGGTTTCCAGACAAAGTGCCCCAGATACATAGACCCAACAAGTCAATCAGTGTAGGATTCCACCTTTCAAAACAGCATCCATGAGTGGTTCCGATGCTGATGCTCAAATGTTCTGCATTTTGTAAACACTGACTTAGTACGATATTATGATCAGACTAATGAAATCCCAAATGATTAAATAGCAAAAAAGTCCTTTTTCTAGAGAACCATAATAGAAAGAAACAGATGGCTCACAATATACATACATGAAATACATATGTTTTTCATATTCTGATACATTTAACCTCTCTAGCTCTCAATTTCTTCAACTTTAAGCAAGTAATACAATTTCTAGTTTCATAAAGACAACGTGGCTTTCAGGGCACTGAAATGGCTTGTGAGTTGCTTGACAATGCTCCTTGCCTGACTAAAGTCTTTGTCCCTTTGACTTAACCTTATTTGTACTCTGTGCTAATAGATTGCTTAGAATTCACTCTGACTAATTTTTTAAGAAGTCACCAAGGAAAATGGTCACAAACAAGTGGCTTTAAAATTAGAGGTTCTCTCAACTTCTGAACCAACAATGATTTTGTCTTGTTTGCAGATAAACTCTCCCCGAGTGGGTTACAGCCACGCTGCATAAAAGATTATTTCTCTCCTAAGACATTTCCTGAAGACTTAACTAGTCTCTGATGTGAGGGAAGATGTGGAAAAACGAGCAAAGTTTTTCTTTATTCTCAGCATCACCATTTGAAAATTAGGGCTCTGTGGGGCCCTTCTGGTGAAGGAAAATATTAATGTCCTCAGGCTCTGAAGTTTCTGAGGAATCATCATGCTCTAATAAGTATAAAAAAAGACACATGAATAATAGACCGCTAAATGGGTCAAAGGAATTTTGATTTCTTAGTTAAATGTTTTCCTACTGGTAATAGCTATGTTTTCAGAAGTACTGGAGCGTTTACAAGATTGGGTTTAGAAAGAGCTATGAATTCTTTTCCTTGTGATCTTTTAAGTTTGGGTTCCACTTTTCTATAGCTGTAATTTTATCATAATGATAGGCTTAGATTATTTTTTGGTTGGGTCTTTTAACCATCATAAAATACTTGCCTAACATTTATTCATGAGTAAAAGAAAGTGCTCATGGTATTTCAAAGGAGCCCCAAAGCAACTTTACCATCAGAACTAAAAATGCATAAAAAGTAGCAATGGTGTAAGATAGACATGTTGTAAATATGTCCAAAAATAGTTTTTAAATATGACTAGCAAATTATATTTATCTATTCACTCATGCATTTAATAGATTTTGTTTCCAGAAAACATATCAATAATTGAAATACAACTGAAATACACATGTAGAGAAAGTAAAAATTTAGGCAACAAAATGTGTCAGTTCTCATATACTTAATATTTTATAACCCCATTTCACTTCTACTGTGTAATAATAGCTCCTTTTCCAAATTTTAGTTCCCCAAAAAGTGTCCCGTACATTTGTGGCTTGCCCCCACACCATACACCTAATTTCCTATAAGAAAAGAAAGCATTCTAGGTTTTAAAATATTCCAGAGTCTTAGCTACCTACCCTATCCTTTGGATTATATTTTGAATAATCCTCTTTTAATCTCACCTGCCACTGTTTTCTTTCTAGAATTGTTCAGTTCTCATGTAGATTTCTGAAGATGATCCAGTTTTTCCTAACTTCACTCACAGTTATCAAACTATTTTCCAGTATATGAGCTACTCCTTTAGGAACTACTCAAAAATGCACCATTCACGTTCATTGAGCCTGGATGTGACCTAGGCTCATCAGAGGAACAAACAAGGCACCTCAGGACATGAAAGGCCCTTTCGGGTATGGTCTCCTGTTAGTTCTATGGCTTCACCACACGGCAGGTCTTGTCAGGCCTTGTTGCCAACCATACTGAAATATTTGAAGTGCTTGCAATTGTTTTTGCTCTAGGATCTATGAAAACTCTATTCTTCCCACAATCCCTTTACAGCCCAAGTGCTTGGAAACACACTCATCATTCAAATGTCATCTTAAGCTGTCCCTTCAGCAGAGGGACTCCACTGAACCTCAGCAAATGAAATTAATATCTTTTATCATAAAACTAAAATGCTTTATTCCAAAACTAAAAATTAATAGCTCAGTATAGTGGTAACTGCCTGTAATCCCAGCACTCAAGAGGCTGAAGTCAGAGTCTAGAGTTCAATTCCAGAATAGACTAAACAGAGAGACCCTATGTTTCAAAATGTAAATAAATAAATATAACAAATATAAATAAGAATTTTTATAGGAGTTTTAAGCTCCATTAATGACTTTGTACACTGTACCTTCACCTGTCCCTTCTTTTCATTAATTCATTTAACTATATTCAGGTAGAATTTTGTGAATAAGGACCAACAATTTTTTACCCTAAAAAAGTTGAAATTCTTCAGGAATTGTAGTGAAAAGGCAGATGCTGACATTCTATAACATGGTGGGAAGCTGTGATAAGTACTGTGAAGAAAAATAAACGACCTGAAGGAATAAGAGTGTAGGAAGGGTGATTTTTGATTGGACGGTGTGGAAGGACTTTCTGAGGATAACACTACATTGTAATAATCGTGTTTATTTAAATTTTAGGATGCTGGGATAATACAGGGTGTATTCTTCACGTATTATTTCAGCTCAAGGCCAGCCACTGGAGACCAGTCTCTGCTTTCACGCTGTATGCACTAACTCAGCAGTTTCTATTTCAGCAAGGTGCTTAAGCGTGCTTACATGTGCATCTACAACCCTCATCTTCTGGGGAAATATGGGGCCAGCATATAAACTCTTAAGATGCGTCATTGAAAACCCTTAGTGCACTTAAACTGTGGTAGGGAAGAAATAACCACAAAGGTCAGTACTGAAGTGGACTTCTTCAGGCAAGTTCCTGTATAATGGCTTCTGTTTTTAATTTACTTTAACTCCTGGACCCATCTACTTCTATTTGTTGAATCCATGTTTTTTTTTTACCAAGGTAGAGTTCACAAGTACAAAGTACAAGTGGATGGCATGACCTGTTGTATGAGTCAGGGTTTACTAGAGGAACAGATATAACACAAGATAAACAAATGTGCAAGAGATTACAAGTTTGGCTTACAATGGTCAGCTACAGAGTTGGATGAGGAAGCATGCAGAGGGCGTCTGCACGCTGAAGATTGAAGAGCCCAGCCCCGGGCCTGGAACTCACTGCAGTGCCCGTGCAAGTCCGTATCAAAAGGCTGATGGGTCTGCAACTGAATGCTGAAGAACCTACGATGAAGGCCGGAGAGCCAACACCAGAAGGCTGAAGAGTCCCAGACGGAAGCCCAGCAGTCTGCACCAGAAACCGGGAGACGACCAAGCTGAAGGTGAAGACTGGAGCTCCTCTGAAGAACCAGCAGCCAGTCCTTCCTCAATTCCTTTTTTCATGCAGTCTTCCCACTCTGGGGAGATGGAGGTGGTCCTCCACACCCACACCCTCTGCATGCCTGCCTCT